GGGAGAAATAAAATCTGCAGCACAAATGCCAGCTGGTAATCAGTGACTCAGGATTTTCAGGCAGTCTGCCTATTTCCAACTGAACACAGAAAGCAGCAATAAGATCTGAGCTTGGTGTAAGAGCAGTATGCTGCTAGAACATTGATGTGCTTTAACATGTGAAAGAAAATTTCCAAGGTACTAGAATCCAGATGCAAATCTAGTGCTGAAGCAATCAGTTAAAGCAACACACCCATGGGTGGATGCAGCACAGGCAGCATCACCATGGGCCTTCTGTCTCTTCCCTGCTGGTATATCACATCCAGGGAGGGCCCCTTATGAACAGCAAGGCATGTTCAGTCTCCCAGCATCATTTAGACCTTGACCCTTTTGCAAAAAAACAGCAAAGAGGCATTAATTTCTAGAATGAGATTTTGTATGCACGTCTCTGTACTAGAAACTAGGCAGAGCCATCAACTTATTTCACCTTAGAACGACAAAACATCCAAACCGCAGAACTTCTTACAGCGGCTCATCCTAGTGGCAAGGAACCATGGATGAAAGGGCATAAAATTGCCTATTTCCCCCTTACAAATCCCATGTGTGTCTCAACTCTTTAAATTCACTGAACCTTCCGGAAAGAAGCATCAGATCATGAAATGAAATCTTTTAGAACAGGATTTTTGCTGAGAAAGTCTATGAGTCCAATCTTAAGGAAAAAAAAATGGCTGCAAAAGCTGTGACAGAAGCCTTGCCACATATAGAAATCTTCTATACCAAGAGTGGAGCAGACATGCATGCATCCTAAGGACAAAAATGGGATTTTCACTTCCAGTTTGGTGTTCATTTCTCTTTAAGTGGCAGTGGGTACCTACAGGAAAACACTTGGGCTTTGAGAGGCTGAAATTTCCTTCTGTAACAGGCAGGAGGATGATTGCTTCTGCTGCATCTGGAGGATGTCACGAAGTGAACTCTAACCAAAACACCACTAATGGGCTCTGTTTAGACTGAGACACTTTGCTAGGATCTATTGGGCATAACAGCCCATGGGAAGGTGGTAGAGACACTGAGTACAAGCTGCAAGTTTGCTCAGAAAGCAACCACTGGAAAGAGAACCATGTGACTTCTGACACCTCTCACTTTTTGTCTCATCACCACACTACATACATAAGCTACACATTTAAGTTACCACAAGCTAATCCACTTGCCCTCTCTCTTCATTACAGCCCCTCCTGCCTTTTTCCTCACCTGCTTCCCTTAATGAGCATGCCAAAAACACCATCAACAGGGACCAAAAAAACAAGGGAAAAGACAGAGAAAAAACAAACACCCCCTACCACATACTGTATCTTCTTCCAGCCTTAGGAACTGTGCTAAATGAAGAGGAATCATCAGCTGTTTCCTGCCCTTGCTATAAAGGAATATCTCCTCCCTAACCTGCTCCACCTACTCAGTTTTCCCCCATCAGCACTGATTTCTCCTGCTGCACTAAATAGTTACAGGTGCTTTTGAACAGAGGCCCTAGGAAGGCAGACTTAGCATTAAGAGATCCTCATGAATCTATGAGATTTTTCATGGTAATCTGTGGTGTGGGCACATCCAGTTTCCGGGGAAAATGGTCATGACATGTGCGTTATCACAGCCTCAGAGCTTCCCTTTCCTGCGCCTTAGGTTTCCCACACTGGATTGCAACCTACCCACCTTCACATAAAAGATGTTGAAGCTTTCAATGAGGTCACACCAGGCACTGACAAGCTCTGATGGGTGAGTCATGCTGCAGTAGCCAGAGATACCAGCAACAGATTTGTTAGCTGTATGCAGCCTAACTCTTTTTTCAGGCCTAGAATCTTATTTCAGCACAAAATACAACATCTCAGAGACTGGCGGCTGCAGAACTATTAAGGACCAAGCCCATATTTTCCAGAGCTTTTACAGACTATAGTGAGGTTCAGTTCCTAAGAATATGTTTACAACAACATGAAATTTGTTATTTTCTTGGAAAATGGAAGATCAAAATCCAGCCTGGGTCAGTGGGTGGAGCTACTCATTGCAGTTCACTGGAAAAATCTAGCTATGCTAATCAAGAATCTAAGAGGTTTCACTGAAAAACCTTCATCAAGTCTTGTTCTAGCAGTTCAAACCATCACGTCCAGCAAGCTGCTGTTCTAGAAGCTACTGCCCTATCGCAGGGCCAGCAGGAATTTTTCCTAAACCAGCCACTCCAGCCCAATCCCAGTAACATAACTGGGCCATAAGGTTTATGTTTGAGCTAAGACATTCGGCTATAATCTGGTGCTGTCACATGCAGGAACAGTCTCCTTTCTGCTGCCTCTGCTGTGATGGTGGCAACCTGTCACAAAGGACTAGCTGAGACAGGAGCAACATCCTAAACTGCCACAGCAAAATTCAGAGGAGCTTGTCCATGACAGCCTGGCAGGAGGTACAGTGGCCAAACTCGCTGCTATTTGAGCAAATCCTTTCATTTTGCAGTTAACTTTCTGAAGAACCGTCATCCAGCTTTTGCTTTACACCACAGAAACGGCTTGGTCACACATTTTGATATGCATGGGATATCTGTGCAGGGCTGTACAGATCAGCAGAGCTCCCTTGGGGGAGCAGCTTGCAGAATCAACCAAAGAATCATCTCAGGGACAGGTTCAGTTTGCTTGCATGTTCTACGTGCACAAAAGAGCACCTGAGAAATAGCAGCTCAAAAAAAAAAAGCACCCGAGCAACAGCAGCTTGATCAGCTTATTGTTATTCTCCTATGAAGAAAGGTAGAGAGAATGCCTGGGATATCCCTGAGAGCTGCAATCAAGAGAGACCTGAAAGTAATCAGAGGAAACATACAGCTGTTAAGAAAATAACTTTTTCCCCCAAAGTCTTGAAAAATATTGCCCTTTCCAGCACAAGAACTGCCTACCCAGAATCCCTCAGTAACCTGCTTGACATAGGTACTAATGACCTACTGGCATTTATTTGTAATTAAACAGAACAGCATATGCCAAGGAAGTAAAAACTGTTGAGTCGCACCAAAAGCCACTTTTCCACTTGTGTGCCTGCCCAGATGGTAGAGTGGGACAGTTAGTCAGAAAGATGAGATTCGGTTTACGCCTCTGACAACAGTTTCCCACGTGATCCTGAGTAACTGCTTCCCTTTCTTGTGCCTCTGTTTCCCTGTTTCTTAATGGATAACATCACTCCTTTGACTCACAGGACATTTGTAAGTGTACAGCAAAGAACAACTTGCTTATCTAATAAAAAGTAACACAGAAGACTGAAGTACTATTATTGTCATACAATACAGAAGCGGTTACATAACAAGGCCAGCATTGCTTCATTTTTGTCATTACCCCATAACATATTGTCAAAGGGATGCTGTCTAACATAATGCTAAAGGAATGATAGCAAGTTTCATGGGATAGCTAAAGCAAAACATTTCCTGACTTGTGCATTTCACAACTAGTCATGCACTCACACACATGTGCTTATCTTCCTTGCTAACAGAGATCAAGGTGAAAGTCAGTTTTTAAAATGGCACATAACAATACAGAAGCGAATATTCTGAAAACCTCAAAGCCATGCAAAAATTCTCTCTAATCATACATTCTGTATGAAAATGAACTTTAAATAAAATCAGAATTAACTGCAGTTCGTACCTGCTATTACGATACTGAAGATTTCCAGGTTCAAGTCCTAGGATTTATTTTAGAGTTTACATTCATTTGCTTAAAAGAGTTCAGACTAAAGGAACACATAGGCTGAAGGCTAAGAAAGGTACATATGTGACTACAGTAGCTAGAACTCTGCCATAATCACAATCTTATCTTTCTTATCTACTGAAAGTATTTATACAGCAATGATTACTGCACTAGGCCCTATCACTCCTGAGTTATTTCTGAACCAGCACCTTAGTGTTGCTGTAAGACATTTACACTGCTAGAGGTGCTGTCATTCTGCTGAGACAGAAAGCAAAGCTCCCCATCACTTAAAGTCATTAAAAAAAATAAACTATGACATGTCCAAAGAAGTAGGGATGTTAATCCCAATGCCCTGGCCAAATTCCCAGCTTGAGTAATTACAATGTGCTTTGAATAAATTCTTGCCACAGTTTCCGTTGGACATAGTATTGTTCTCTACTTCCTCTCCTGCAATATTATGTAGTGCTGATGCACGCTCTTAAAAGTCCTGTCTAACCTGGACTGTTGTATGGGTCTGCCCAGGACCAGCTCCACGACACAACAACATATCAGGAATAACACATTGAAACCTGTTCTGCTTGTCA